AAGAACATTGATTAACGGGGTTAAACCCCCCCCCCCATCAAGACTGGATTTAATAACAGTTTGCTGTCTACGTAGAATTATGTGCCCTAAATCCAAACTGCATAGGAAGTAATGGAAAGTGACCAAGATTTAAATACTCTACTAAGTGATTGCAAATGACCTTTTCAATTAATTTAGAAATAACTGGAAGAATACTGATAGCTCTATAGTTATTTACATTAGCAGGATCACCAGTCTTAAATATAGGTGTTATTACTGCTGACTTCCAGACATTTGGTAAATATCATTGTTTTATTGAACAATTAACCAAATAAGTAATAGGTGTACTAAGAAAACAACATATTTAGCCCTAGAACTCTTAAGCTGGCTTAAATTTTTTATTATATAGTAGGGCTGCACGATAAATTGCATGCGATATTTAATGCGCATCTTGTCAGTAAAGCCGTTCTGTAATCAGCGGTAAATCTCCATTTTCAATGGCTCTGTGTAGTTAATGCTGCTCAATGTGAAAGCACGCACGTGATGGAGATTTACCGCTGATTACAGAACCGGCTTTCTGACAAGATGCGCATTAAATATCGCATGCGATTTATCGTGAAGCCCTATTATATAGGACTCCGATACTTCAGGAATATTAAAAACAGTAAGATCATGATTTGGTGATATAATATCCTTACTTCTTACACTAAAACCTTGTATTACATCTTGAACTGAATCTATAAAAAATAGGGGTGTAACGGTACACTTATTCACATCGAAAATTTTCAGGATGGGTCTTTCGGCATGTGTAAAACATTGTTTTAACCACTGCACAAGTGGAACTTCATTTAAAACTTCTAGTTTTATATATTGTTACTTTTGATAAGAAACAAAGTCTCATCTTTAAAATTATGTCCATTTTATTCAGGAAATTCAAACAATAAATGCTGTTTTGACGCTCTTTGATGTGGCGCGACAGATCGCATATAAACACCTCAATTCAAATGGCAGTGGAGCGCGATCATCCCTTCCTCTTTACTACTAGTTTTAACGGAAAATAAACTTGAATGAACATCTCACGCCTCATGTAATCGCTCAATCAGTGTTTCAACCACGGAAACACGTTAATGAAACAGCTTGTATATCAAAAAGTCATGTAGCATTTCATTTACATCAGGCAAGTCATCAGTGTCCACAGCTCATTAGTTCACTATAAATGAAGTCTAGTGAAGAGCATTTTGTGAAATATTATACTTTATAATCATTATATTTTACTTTACCTGTTAGTGATGTCTTATTTATTTAATGTATGTTTAAATAAATGTTACGAAACAAGTTATGAGAGCCACTGTGAATTAATATATTTCAACAACAAATATAATTTTTACGATTTAGAAGTTAATTTAAAAACTGCATTATGTGCAATTTACATGTTTGCATAAATTTTTTAAAGTTGAGTGTTGATTATTATGTTTAAAAATAAATAGTAAAATTAAGTTGTTAATTGTAACCTTATAGTAACGGAAAGGGCTCTCTATAGTTTAGCGCATAGGCTGAGGTAGATTTTTATCCCTAAGAAAATTTTAATTGTAATTGAATTTACTTAAAGAGAGAACAATTTGTTCAGTAAACCACTGTTTAATAAAAAAAAAAAAAAAGTTTTTCCCCCTGCTGTATCGAAACATACCAAACCGTGACGTCAAAACCGAGGTATGTACCGAACCGTCATGTATGTGTACTGTTACACCCCTAATAAATAATTATTAAATACACTAGCAATTTGATGCTTATCTTGAATTAAATTTCCCTGAACATGTAATTCAATACCTTTTATCTCTGTTTTTACTATTTTTTCTTTCGTACTCTATTGATATTCTCCCAAACTTGTCTAGTATTTCCCTTAGCATCATTTTATAAGATCTATAAAAAAATTAGCTTTCGCTTTTCTCAATTCCTTTACAGCTTTATGACGTAAGTATTGAAATGTCCATCTATCATGAGCTAAACCTGATGTGAGCACTATTTTCAAAGCATGCTCCCACTGTCTCATTAACTTCAATAATTGTTCATTTAATCAAGGCAAATTCTGCTTCTTTCTAGAAAAAGTTACATTTTTGCTAAATTCACCTTTAATCTTATTAATTGTGACCATTAAAAACTCAGAAGCAGCTTCTAATTTATCTGTAGGCAGAATCTCATTCCAATCTATTTTTTTATTTTTATTTCTCTTCAAATTCATTTTTAAATCTATTCAGTATAATATTTAGCATATTTTCTTTGTCTTGTTGATATAGAAACCTATGTTTTGTTAATTTTCTTACCACTAATATAAGATTATGATCTGATAGCCCTGTTAATAAATGTATTGACTTAGTTATTCTTTCTGGTTTGTTGCTAAATATTAAATAAATTTGAGTTTCAGATGATGAGGTAATTCAAGTGTGGCCCTGAATTAACTCTACAAGGTCAAACTGACTTACTATCTCCTGAAACCTTTTTCTATTTGACTTCTCAGTCCAATTTATATTAAAACCCCCAACCAAAATTAACTATTTATTTCTATCAAACCCTCTCAAAAGATTTCTTAAATGATCATAGAACATACTACTTGATGCAGGAGGTCTATATATAACCACTACAGTAAATATCATACATGGAGATAAAACAATTGTTACAGCAAATATAGTCTATATCCACAAAAGTATTAAATTCAATTTCCTTAAATTTAATGCAGTTCTTCACATGCACAAGCAGTCCACCACCTTTTCCAAATTTTCGATCCTTTCTGAAGACTTTATATCCGGGACCAGATATGCAGTGTTTGGTGATGATTCTGTCAGCCACATTTCTGACAAGCAAAGCAAGTCAAAGTTCGAATTCATAAGTAGCTGTTCCAGTTGTTCAGTTTTTGAGGCAACGCTTCTGATGTTTAAATGTCCCATAAGTAATCCTTTGGGCTTTGAGCACGGATCCCATAAAAGTTTCTTGTGATTTGCTGTTTTAAACCGATGAAAGTCCTTTGTTCTTCCTCATAAAGAATGTTTTTAAAAATCTTTTCAAATAACCTCATAAAGCTAGGATAACCTCCAACTTGTCTTAAGTCCCCAAAGGTAAGTGGTTTAATTAATTTATTGGGAGGGTTTTCATTGAGCAAGTTTTCATCAAGAACCGTCATACAATCTAATTACTCCAAAGCCTGTAATTTTCTTCTTAAGGAAAATAAAAAAAATCAGAAATACTTAAGTTCTCAAATAGTTTCTTAACATCTTAAGAGCTGAACATTTGTATGAGCTTCTTAGAATTCAATCTTAGAATCAATTCAACAACACAAAAGAGGTTTAAATCGGTGTTATGTTATTTTTCAAGAAAATGACTCATCATTCATGATTATATTAATAGCTTCTGATTTAAAGCTTTAAAGGATAAGCTGTGCTTTAAAGCATAATAAAGTATGCAAATTCATTAATTTGGTACTGTAAGCATATTATGATAAAAGCATAAAAAATGGCAACACTCAATGTCATACAGTATGTAGGGTCTCTGCTTCATCTCTGTATCTACCAGTGAGTCCTTGGCCTGAAAAAGTTTAAAGGGGTGGACCTTAAGGGATTCTTGCTCCGTTCCTCCATGCCAACTAAAGCACAGCACCAGCATGTCGCGGCTCTTTGATTTTTCATTCCTATTCAACCTCAGTCAGCTACTTTTTTGACTCATCTCCTTTCTCAGCCCTCTTTAACTGATCCCTGCCTGTCACTGCATCTAGGTTGTTCAGAGTGAAAGAGAACTCGTCTCTTTATTGTGTTTGCTCTGCATCCATTAGATTGACTCACCTATGCTTTGTTTGTCTTTGAGTCCCGTCCTTCCTTTACTAATATTCATCTTTCTGCACATCAGACTAGATATAGAAAAATGCATTGAAAAATGGTGATGAGAATGGCAGATATTGTCGAACATGACCTTTCTGCTATGTATGTGTGTGTGTGCGTGCAAAAGAATGATGTATTTTCATGCAGTTTGCGTTGCAATAAGCCTTCGTATATCCATGGCATTTTGAGTGCTCTGGAGTTTCTCTTGGAAGAGTACAACATTTGAGCAACTTTGGTGCCTAATTATAGATTCATGGAACGAATAAGATCGTGTATTAACTGTCTTTAGCCATAGTACGCTGCAAAACAATCATTTGCATTAACAAGACTGCTCATTTGGTTGGGCATATGAATGGGCAGATGGTTACCATCTATTTAAGCTTTTGTTTTGGATTTGCTTCAGGCCTAATTCAGTATCTGTAATCATTGTGCAGTTGGATGATGTTTATATTGGCATAAATAGTAAAGAATGTTTTGATTTTTATCTGTCCAGTCTGTCCTCTGGCAATAGGATTGATGCTGAATGGAACATGGCTCAATAAATAGTTTCCCCTCTCAAATTCAATGTCTGTTTGTTGTCCCCCTCTTTTCTCAGTTGACCAGATATATCATTTGGCCTCACCTGCATCGCCACCCAACTACATGTATAACCCTATCAAGACACTGAAAACTAATACTATTGGAACTCTCAACATGCTAGGTAAGTATCACCCAAAAATTAAAATTCTCTCATCATGTGCTTGGACTTTTGTTAATCTTCGAAACATAAAATTAAGATATTTTTCATGAAACCTGAGAGATTTCCATCCCTTCATTGAAAGTCTGCTCCACTAAAACTGACACTTCAGAAAGTTCCGTATTCATTTGATACATCATCCATAAAGTCTTCTGAAGAGACTCAATCACTTTATATGAATACTGCCTCTATCCACATATGAGCATTGATCAGTGCACATACATAGAACACATTAAATATGGTAAACAGAAGCACAACTGTACTTGCTTGAACTTGGTTCTTGTGCATCAAGCAAGCACATTTGAGCATTCATTAATCAAATCATATAAAGTTGTTGTGTCTTTTCAGAAGACTTGGATTAAACCAGTTGACTTAAATGTATTACTTTTAGCATCTTATTATGCACTTTTTGTAACGTAAAAGTTTTGGTTGAATGACATTAGCTGTTTCTGGTTCAAGACAAGCGGGTTTTATGGGCCACTGCAAAGTAAATTTTTCCTGTCCAGAACTGTCATATTTTCAGTGTCATGGAAAAGGGTCATTGGCCATAAGTGTCAGAATCTAAGGTCTCCATAGTAACATATATTAGCAATTCCAGTGGCTGCTGGCATAAGATGGTCTCTATTATCATCCATAAGCTGTGGCAACAAAACCAGGAAGAGATCATACAAAGATACTACAGATGTCTTTGTCACTTAGTATAAATTTGGCTCACTGAAAACACAAAAAAATTAGCTCAGAATGATGTATGATCTTTGCATTAAGATTTGTATAGTCACATCCTCTTCTGATTTACTGATGAGGTCTAATCTTAAAATATCCCTCAGATATCTCAGGGAATATCTGTGATGCAAAAAAATCTTTTGTTAATAATTTTTAGTAACAATATTGTTTTGCTGCTTGCGGTTCAACAGTTTCAATTCAGACTGGAGTTTAACGCTTTAACTGTAATTTAGAAAAATATTTAAACTGACAGACAAACTAACTGTTGTTTACCAGGCAACAATCTATAACTCATTCTCTGACTTTGGTGATAGAATTGTGGGGGTAAAGTCAGAAAATTGCAGGTATAAAAACCATTTAGTTCAATTTGGTCTTCTGTCTGTTCGTGTTGGAAAGGTTAGTGTCTTTTCAATTATCCACCTTGCACTTTCTTTGCAGTCTTCAATCAGATGTCCACTGTCTATAAGTACAGCAGTTAAAGACCATAATTTTTTTTTTTTTTTTTTGGTGATTAGAGTTTTCGGAGTTATAATTTCTGAGTTGACATGAAATCTATATTCCGTCTCATGCCTGCAATTACATATAATCGCTTTTGCAGGTTATTGCCAGGTCCACATGGAATCTGTCCCACAGAATTGCAACTCCTGTCATTCTTAAAATTCTTGTTTAATTAAATATTTTTATTTTTATTTCAGCTGTCAGTTAAAGTACAATTGGCATGGGCGCAAGTAGTAAAGAAACAGATTGCAGGCTCTTGAGACAGCGTTTAAGCAAATTATTTTAAACTTGACATGCCATGTTAAAAAACTGACCAGCCACAGTTTAAAAATACACGGTCAAGACAACCCAGGTGAATAAAGTGGTTCACACATATTATGCATGTGTATTTTATTCACATCTTATTTTTATTATCTGTGTGTTGTTGTTGTCTCCGTGTACTGGAAGCTTGTGACACTATAACAAATTCCTTGTATGTGCAAACATACTTGGCAATAAAGCTCTTTCTGATTCTGATTCTGATTAAGATAATGCAACCTAGGCTCATTCGAAATATAAAAATATGTCTACATTTCTGCAAAAACGCACCTATATATACATTTCACTGCAGTTTCCAGCTGCAACTTTTTTTTTTTTTTTTTTACACAAATTATTACTGGGGCATATTATCAATTTTTAAATACTTGTTTTTTGCACAGTTTCTTTCACAGTGCAATGTTATGACCTCCAAACACTTTTACCATAGTGTGTCACTTGTAAACCTTTATGTTTTGATGTTTGCATCACATTAAAGGGGTCATATGATGCGATTTCAATTTTTCCTTTCTCTTTGGAGTGTTACAAGCTCTTGGTGCATAAAGAAGATCTGTAAAGTTGCAAAGACTAAAGTCTCAAATCCAAAGAGATATTCTTTATAAAAGTTAAGAGTCAGCCACGCCTACCTAAAATGGCTCGTTCTAACACGCCCCCACATACCTACGTCACGATCTCGGAAGATTTGCATAACGCCGCCCAAACGTTCACGCAAAGAAAGAAGGCGTAACTTATATTCTCGCTGTAGTATTGTTGTTGCCGCCGCCAGGTCGTGAAGGCGCTGTGTGATTCGTTGTGAAAGCGAAACTACTTTGTTTGACCTTCCAAAAGAGGACGATATCTGAGAAGGGACAGAGCGGTGTGGAATAAAGGTAAATTATGTGGAAAATAATGCTTTTTTTAACCTTAAACCGCATAAACACATTGCATTACACCAAATACACCAAATAATGTTCTTTTTAGCAATGTCATATGACCCCTTTAATAGCTCCATATGTATGGCTTTTCTGATGTAGTAAACTTGCTCAGTAGCTTATCTAGTGCAGCACTACGATTGCATTGCGAATCGCTTGAGTACAAGTCCCGTGAAACACAAGTCACATAAATGAACTCAAAGACCTTTAGAAGCAAGTTAAAATAAAGCGATATGCCCCGAGAGGCCATGATTTACAGTGAATTTAGAACTGCTAAGGGGTGTTGTTACTCCCTTATAAAACAGTTACCAAACAATACATATATTAAAGGCAAAATACATGTATTAATATGTAACTTTTTACATCACTCTGCTAGAAAAATAGTCCCTGACAGTAGATGGCAGTAGAGTGTTCCTGTAACATGCCTCATCGTATGGAACGCATACTGTACCTAAACTGATACCGGAACTGTTCTCATGCGCTGTGTTATTTTATTTTTTTAAACAATATATGATATTTCCTCACACACATATATCTGCTTATCTCTCAGCAGAGTCAAAGGTGTGTGTATTTAGAGTAATGTACAACGGCTTCGAACTTGGCATAACCAGTCAAAATCAAGGATAGAACGATCTCTTTTATGATGACATGGTTTCTTCGGCAAATGCATTTTTATTTCAGGTTTGTTTTTCTTCACACTATTGGTTAGGTTTAGTATATAGGGTATGTTATTTTCAAACATAATGGAGCATTAACCTTTTAGTGCCACTCACCTGACATGTCATTTCCAAACTGCTGTATGCGCATTGACGTAATAAAATGTTCTGCACATATGTGTTTGCGTCAGGGGAAATATAAGCTTAAATCATATTTCAATGCATTAGTGTGCAGATAATCATTTATATTGTACATCCTGTGCATGTCCTGTTGTAATAGAGTGACTATCTAAATTTTTTTTTTTTCCAGCCAGTCAAAACATTTAATGAAAATGTTGAGAATTTAACACCTCTACTCAAACATCAATCTGTGAAAGAGGTTAATTATTTCTGACTCCCAATGGGAGTCATATATTGATTGATTAGTCAAACTTTGTCTGGTTAGATACAATTTAACAACTGATTTGCTCATGTCTCTCTGTATTCACAGGATTGGCCAAGCGAGTTGGAGCTCGTTTACTCCTTGCCTCAACTTCAGAAGTGTATGGAGGTACTTGTAAAAATATTTCCATTCTAATGCTTAAAATGATGGAAAGGGGGCACTAAATAATTAGATATGTATTGTATGTACATACTAGCATTTATACAGTGACATACATTTTTCGGACAACACCATCCAATGTGCATTTGGTTTAAGACATCAGAGAACTGTAGTCAAATAGCCTTAGCACTTTATATGTGTGTACCACATTTTGAGTTGAAATCAAAGGCTAGAAAGGACAGGAAAGGACACATTCAGTCAGTGTGAGAATGCATGAGTCTGCTATCTGAAAAGATTTTGGTAGAGGTGAACTTTATGATTGTTCTATGTAATAATAAAGAACCTGATGCCAATTGTGAAGCATGGTTGTGGGAGCGATGCAGTGGAGGCTGCTTTGAGTTCATCTTGAAATTGCCACACAAATAATGTGACTTAAAAGGAAATATTATGGCCATGTCAAAACCTGTAGGATATGCTATGGGGAGGCGAACAGAGTATGCAAGAATGTTTTCTCCAAGTCAGTGAAATCAATCAGAACAAATGTCTACAAGAAGTCTAAAGATGTCTTCTAAAGGAGACAACATCAGCTCTTGAGGCTAAGGGGGTTTCCATACCATTATGTTTAAATTGTTATTTTCCATGCAAAGAAAGTGAATTGAACCGGTCACCTGCACACCTCTTAAATAAGCAGTAATTGCACTGCTGAAATGACCCAACAACACCTTTTCTGGTTAATCTCTTTGAGATGGGTATAATTATTTCTTTTTGACTCACTGAAAGGAAACTGTAATTGATCTTCTGTGCTTTGATGGTTCAATAATCAGCTCATTTGGGATTTGGGAATGAAGACATATCTCTGTCTATCAAGAGAGAAATAAAGTTATAAGATATGTGTAGTCAAGGTTTGGTTTGTTTGTTTTTTTTGGTATATTCTTTTTGTATTTTTTCTTATTTTTAATATCTTTCAGCTGGGAAAATGGCATTCATTACATGCAAGAAAAAATAAACTAGAAAATTACAGTTCCGTCAATTCAACTGTTGAGCCATTTATTGCCTTCAAACTGCTCATTTGGGATTTGGGAATGAAGACATATCTCTGTCTATCAAGAGAGAAATAAAGTTATAAGATATGTGTAGTCAAGGTTTGGTTTGTTTGTTTTTTTTGGTATATTCTTTTTGTATTTTTTCTTATTTTTAATATCTTTCAGCTGGGAAAATGGCATTCATTACATGCAAGAAAAAATAAACTAGAAAATTACAGTTCCATCAATTCAACTGTTAAGCCATTTATTGCCTTCAAACTGCGTAAATCATGGGGTAATTTTCATTTTTGGGTGAACTATCCCTTTAATCATTGGAATCATTTTCAGAACGTTTTTCCTGCTGATTAATGATAAAAACATTGACAACCAATCAGAGTCCACCTGACTTTAACAAGCTTTAGCCTTTATGGCAGCAGATGACTTCCAACAAAAATAACTTTATAGTAACTTCATGGTTATTGTTGTTGGTGTGAACCGGCCTTTAAAATTTTGTCCAGTTTAGCAGCAACTAGTAACCCCAGACAAGTGTCTCGAAGTACCCAAAGGGCCATCAACTTTTTGTTTTCAGGCTTTCGCAGCAAGTGGCTTCGCAATAAGACTGGATTACTGCAAAGTCATTATGTCAGATGCTTAGTCCTGTTAATCATAAGCAGGACATACAGGAGCAATCAAAATTATTCAGAGACTAATCATTTACAAATGTAAGCTTTTCTGAAAATCTTTTTTTTTTTATTGCATCTGCCATCTGCAGTTTAGTGGTATATTAAAACCTGATAATGTCAATATATAATGTAATATTTTTGAGGTATATGATTTTTTTCATAATTATTTAATCCCCATTCAGCATTGCTTTTTTTAAGTCACTAATTTGTTTTGTATGGTACAAAATTGTGTTAAAACAAAAATAAACCTTTGGAAGCTATGACTAAACTGAATTAGCTTGAATGCATAAATTTAACCCATGCATTTGCTAAAATTGAGTAGCAAATATGGCAAAAGAGCTCTCACAAAAACTATAGAGAATAAATTGATACATTAGAAAGTTGATGGCTACAAAAACTTTTTCTAGACAATAAAACTTCCTAAAGACACAGCTAGCAGTCTATTCATAAGTGTAAAATTTGTTGCACAATATATATATATATATATATATATGTGTATGTATGTGTATATATATATGTGTATGTATGTATGTATGTATGTATATATATACATGCATGTATGTATGTATGTATGTATGTGTATATATATATATATATATATATATATGTATGTATGTGTATATGTGTGTGTATGTATGTATGTATATGTGTGTTTGTTTGTTTGTTTGCTTATATTTATTTATTTATTTTAGGGCATTGAATAAAAAGCACAAATTCATCAAGGGAATGTAAAATGTTTTGAACCTTTTTATGCCTTTATGGTTTATTGACAGAGTATTTTTTTAATCATTTATTTATTCATAGTTCTGTGGCTATAGAAATGCATTGAGACCATTTATAAAAATGTCTTCTTTTTTTTTCGCTGTATGTAAAATGGGTGTCTGGATGTTATATTTTAGTTTTATATTGTGTTTTAGTTCTCCCTCTTGTTTTACAAATTTTGATATTTGTGTTAAATGTAACGCATAGGGGGTCGTGTATCATATATCATATTTGTGTGTTTGTGTCTTCAACTAGACCCAGAGGTGCATCCCCAGAATGAGGACTACTGGGGTCATGTGAACCCTATTGGCCCCCGGGCTTGTTATGATGAAGGGAAACGTGTTGCTGAGACGATGTGTTATGCCTACATGAAACAGGTAAGAGTGAAATTCACCCATCCATTACTGCTTGCCACTGTTTGGCAGTTGGATTTCTGTATTTATTTTTATTTATCGAGCCCTGAAGGTGTATTAACCTCAGAGCTCAGAAATGTGCCGTCACATTGTTATTCCAGTCTACTCCATGTTCTGTCTCCATGTCCAATCTCTATTGTAATCTCTATTGTCTCTTTTGCTATTGTTTATACATCAAAGTGCTAACATTTCTATACCTGGAGGAGTGACAAATATTTGTATAGAAAAAAACAAGGGAGCTTGTCAACCTCACAGCAGCACAGCTGATGCACGGTTTGATGAGAAACTGAATGTGAAACGGAAATGGTGAGCCAAACCATTAGCAGCATTTTTAGATGGAAACAGTGGGTCTCATTCATGCATGAATTTGTGCGTGAAATCTGCATACAAACATTTTCACGAACAAATCATGATTAACCAATAACTTTCGCACTAAAATTCATTCTAAATTTACGGGAAAAATCACACATACGGAAAAATAACATACTTTGGCCAGCTTTATAAATGTGTTAAGATTAAGTTTATACATTAGTACATTTATACATTCTTTTTTTTTTTCTTCTCTCTTTCTATCTCGAATAATCTACTTTTTTATATATATACACACAAGATATAGAGGTGTACAACACATACATAATAATCTTACACCAACACTTCACATAATTACATGTAAATGTAACTTCATTGTGCTTTTGTTTTGGCTTAATTGGTTTGTTTATTGTCAGACTTGCTTTACATTTACAGCAATTTTTTCTTCTATTTTGTACTGTTTTTTTTGTATATCCTATTTTGTCTTGTTCTAAAAGCAAATTAAAGCTAAAAAAAGGTTATACATTAGTTATTTTATCATAAATATGTTTTATCATATACAGTGAAGTTTATGTGCATACAAATCCGAAATAATTTGCATAATTATTAGTAAATGAGACCCAATGTCTTCTAGTTCTAGCATTTACATGCTGTCATTGAAGAGACGTTCCCTGGTACAGCGAAAGATCATTTCCAGAGGTTGTTAGACAATCAGAAAGTAGTTTTGCTGTTGCTGTTGTTCTGTTACATTTACACACATTTACGTTTTGTTCTATCATTACTTTTGGTATAATACTTTGAGCTTTTGACTGATGCACTTTTGTGATTTTTATGTCATCAGTTAAAACCATATTGTATGTGTTAGATGCGGAATTAAAAACACAGTACTTAATTCTCACTTTCAGTGGCTAAATATAATGTAATGGCAAATAAAGTCTAGCGGCCTGCCTGTTAAACATCTTGCCGTTACCTAAAGGTTGATAATTTGGGGCTCCGTTTGGTTGACAGACACACAGGCAAGATCACAACAATCATCTGGCTCTCTGGATCTATGTAACACCTTCATTTCCTGCCTGTCTTCTCGTTAAACATTGTGTTATGATTGATTGGGACCAGCCTTTGGTGCAGCTGGTTTGATCTGTTTTTCTTCTCTAGTAAGAACTCTAGCTGCTGCATTTTGGACCAGCTGGAGTTTGGTCACTCTCAGATTGTCTTTATATTCACTGTTCCTCAAATACATACATTGTCACTCTACGTGTCACCATATGAGAAACCTTCCTTCACAAGTTTGATTTGAATATCATCAGCGACATGTGGCATCTGGCATATTCCTTTTTAAAATTAAATTCAATGACATTTCAGAAGGATAAAGGCTGTTTGATCAAAGAGAGAAAAATAATAGTCTGACCTTATGTTTGTTCAAAACAATTGTTTGTTTCTGTTTACCACCTTTTATGCGAGTTTAGGATAATATGCCAGTTTTTAATTTTTTTGTTTTTGCACAAAACACAGCTTTTTAAATCCAGGACCTCGAAATGGACCATTCTGTGTCTCTTCCAATCATGCAGTTCCTTCCATCCATAGCAATTGACTTTCCTATTTATCTGATTGCGCTTTGCTTTCTGACTCCGGACAGACTCTGTTTTTCTCTGACCTCACATTATCACTCATTTGTGTTTGAAGTATTTACTTTTACAGGTTAAAATCTCACATTGTCAAAAGCATACTTAAAGTTGTTGTTATACATTGTTTAAATGGATGAATAAATCCATTCAAATATTGATCTAGATACTAGATAGTGAATGCTCAGAGGACATGTAGAATGGAAGCGGTACTTATTGTTTTATGCTATTTACTAGGGCTATACAATATTGAAGAAAAATATGATGATGATAAAATATGTGATCATTTGTTAAATCATTTCAAATGTGATCTGTAATATGATAATGCTTTGTGTAAAATCAATTTCTGTTATATTTAAATATATTTTATAACGGAAAACAATATAACTAATATGAGTATTTGCCGTTCCTTTGGCACATCAAAAAACATCAGTTTGCTATGAGAGCTTCTGCTTGTTGATCATATCATATTGCATATGTGATCAGAGTGCAAATGCACACACACACAAACCCCAAGACAATAATGTGCCCAGTCTGTTCTTTGCTACCTGCATCGACCTAAAATTGACTTGTCTGCTAAATTCGTTTAACCCAAATGAATGCTGTGGCTCCAACATATCAAGAGCATGTCCGCTACACCACCACAGCTCTGACTGCATTGTGTTTGCACCAAAAACTCAAAAATTCCCATGATATGTGCACTTAATTTCCATTAACTCCTGTCTCATTTGTTTTGTTTGAGTGGTTATTATATTCTTGGAAGTCCACTTTGTAGATTTGCAGGTTGGTAAAACACATATGTGTCACCTTTGACCTCCGTGTCTTGTGATGTGCCTTTCTTCCAAATGACTTAATTAGTCCACTGCGATCCCTTGTGCCGTCTCTCCATCCCTTACATCACCTGCACTTATCAAGCATTTTCCTTTACGAGCTTCCTTCGTCTGTTGGGCCTTATAGCTCTGGCTTTGGCTGTAATTCATGTCTGTGTCTCTGCTGTCACCTCAGTCATCAGGAGCCTGAATTGCAGCTTTCCGGCATTGTTGAGACCTATCACTGCTCTGAAAATGCTCTCTCAGTCCTCATTCAAACTAATGGAAAGCATTGATTTAAAGACTCTTTCCCTGAAGACAGCTTTGCTGCATGCTCTCATGCTGTGAGAGCATAATGTGGCTTCGCCACACATTAAAGTGCCCCTATTATGCCATTTTTACGGTTCCTAATATTGTTTTGGGAGTCTCCTAAAATAGGATTTCATGCATGTAAGGTAAAAAAACGCTTTTGTTTCTCAAAATATGCATTTAATATCACCTCATTTTCCAGCGATTCTCAAACGATTCGTTCAAAGCAGTTCTAAGATTTAAAAAAAAAAAACCTTAAAGGGGTCATATGATGCCCATTTTCCACAAGTTGATATGATTCTTTAGGGTCGTAATGAAAAGTCTGTAACATAGTTTGGTTAAAATTTCTCAATGGTAGTGTAAAAACACCTTTTTTACCCTGTCAAAAACAGCTCTTTTGCAGTCCCCGCCCCTCTCTTCCGAACTGCTCTCAGAGAGACCGTTTACTTTAGCCGCATTCATCGTGAAACTTGCTAATTAGCACATTATTAGGAAAGGCGATTTGCAAAGATTCATTACAAAACATTATACTCACTTCTTCCGTAGATGAGGCTGGATCACGAATGATTCGCGCGAAATAGACACATTTAGGCAGATCTGGGGAGCATTCCCTTCAGAAACAAACAAAATCCACTGTGAGTTCAGCAGCTCAGATGTCGGGAGTAAATGACGACTGCTATGTTCATTATTACATCCAACATCAGAACAGCTCAATCGCTTGTTAGGAGTCATTCTTGAAACAATGGCGGACTGATGACAGCTCACTCAGGGCGGGTCTAAGGTAAGACACCAGTCCAGTCTGCTGAAACGCTACTGTCAATCAAACTATCGTGGGAGGGGCCTGTCTGTTTGATGTCACACAGACAGGCATCTGAGATCGGCTCGATTTGAGAAAGGGGTAAAGATTATGCATGTTTATTGTCATCAGAGATATTTCATGTCATCAGAGAACCAAGGCTATTAAAGTTACCTAACATTTTATGCACTTGTATCACATACTTGCTTTAGGCGTTGTGTCTTACTGGTGGTGAAATCACAGTAACAGATGGCCTTGTCATCGCAACTGAAATGTCATGCTCACGCACATGTTCTGTAATCACATGATGGCCTTGCAATCAGGCGGGTGCTTTTCCTTGCTAAAAAGGCCACTTAAATAGGCTGTCCTTGTTTTGTCCTCGTTACATGTAGTCTGGCATTTTTGCTGCCCATCCTTCATTTATAATGCTATTCATTAAAGTTTTCATGTTTTTATTCATGTCAACGGAGTTAATTATAGAGCTGCTGGACCCAAAAAATCCAACTATTTCTGTTAAAATCCCAGTCTCTCTCTTATGTTGATTCAAGGCCAGTCTTTGATGCAGGCACAAGTACAGGCTTTACCATGACACGGCCTGCCTTTAATGATTTATGTGTCATGTTATGATATCACGTTAAGTATTTTGCAGTTATAAGATGTATTATTATTTTATTTTCATGCCTCTTTTTATAGCTGTTAATTCAGTTCACAGAAATCATTTATAATAAGCAAGACAACATTCCGTGGAAAAATAAGAATAGTGAATTTTGGTGGCACGGTCACTTAAAAGTTTTCTAATTACATTAGGGCTGCACAATTGATCCAAATACAATTACTAATGCCACGATTACGACACAAACGGCTCGAATAGTTCCGGGTTTGATGAAGGCCACCTTCCGAAAAACAAAATGTGGTGTGATTGGTTAGCTGTCCCAGTGCGTTGTGATTGGCGAACAGCTTAGATGGTGTTTCAGTACTGCCACGCCCCTTGCCCAAACAGCAAGTTCTGTCTGCTCAGGTATAGTTAAGGATGGCGTCAATATTGCCATATCAATTTGAGCCGGATTCAGACCCCGAGAATATTGAACAAGAGGATCGCGCAGAACCTTTGCACGCACG